GGGACCATACCATGGGGGGGGGAGGGGGGGGGGGAGCCCGCCGGGGCGTGACCATATATTCAAAAACAATTGAACCCATTCTCCTCCCTCTACCCTGAAGCAAAATGGTGTACCGAAAGCCGAGGACGCATACAGTCGCCCGAGCTGCTGCGATTTTCTCAGAGTTAGAGTTGCACGTGCGGTTTAGCATGAAGGGTTTAGGGCTCCACTTGCCTTACAGCATGTTGTTTGCTTTTTTGGGGTGTTTTCTGCACGCAAGAAATATGTAGTGCAACAGTTAGTCTCAGAACCGCATGCGCCGCACAGTCAGGACACTGAGGCATGCCAGTGAGGCGTGCTCAGCTGGGATTCGAGATGAGGATTTCCCAAATAGACAACTCTCCAAATGTGGCCAACCTCTTTACATACGGTGCTTCTCAGAAAGGGACCCAGGATTTCCAGAAATTCTGAGATTTATATGGCCTAGACTCCTAGGCCCGAAGCCGGTTCTGGGTCACTGCTTTGGGTTGCCCGTTCCAGGGGCAGAAATTTAGACAAGTTTTCGGATGCACCAGTGTGGTAAACATTGTTGGCCGGATGATGTTACGTGCGGAAAGTGATGGCAAAGCCTGTGTAGCAATCTTGGCTGAAGCCTCCCACAATTTCCAGAATTCACAAAGTCCAACCACCACGAGCCAATGTGGCGCAGCACACTCTGCCCGCCAGCGTGGGCCAATACAGACTGTGCTTCCCTTCGCATGGGTGGCACCATCGCACCTTGGCTCTTGGACAGAATCACCCAGACTAGCCCAAACCAAGTAAATCAGAATTGCTAAAAGCTATATGAATGGGTTGGGATTATAGGATATTATAGAGGTTCTATTGGGATTGTGTAATACTGGAAAAATGGAAACTACTGTTTGGGGTTTAGTTCAGGGCTAAGGGGCTATAGCAGCTACTGTCCAAAATCCTTACAGGGGGTTATGCAGGGGATTATCTAGGGGAGCAGTATAGGGCTTATGAAGGGGGATGCTAGGAATTTAGACTATAGCTCAGGTGATCAGAATTACCAAAATTGTGGTCCCAAACTCTTTTATGGTATAGGGTACCTTAAATACACTTCAAGAAGATATTGGGCCCCTGCATCACTGCGTTGCGATCTGATGGGCCCAGGACGCCTTTCAAAGCCATTTGCTGCCCTTCAGCCAGATGGTCACCCTTCGATTGTACCAGCTGCTTTCCTGAAGATGGGTTGCTGTACATTGCTGTTGAGGACCTTAGCTTACCATTGCATTGGGCATGTAACTGGTATGCTTTCCCCGTATATTGGCTGAAATGTAGGACAGCCGCCCAGAAAAATGCTGTTTGGAGGCCCGCGGGAAGTTATCAATGGGGCTACCAATAACTAGGAGACATTTGCAAAGAACTTCCCACGGATCACCCAGTAGCTTGGTGGTGCGGTTCAAGCCTGTAAGTTCTATCTGCGCCGGTCTATTGGGTAATGTGGATATAATATATATATATATATAGATAGTCAGAGTAGTATGCATAGATATATCATAATACATCCATACAAATGTAGCAACATTGTATTGGTAATTTTATTTCAGTTGTTTAGCAGAACCTCAGTCTCCGGTGTCATGGCCGTCAAAGTTGAGGTCAGTTTTTCGCCGCTTGCCTGAAGTTTAGTACTATCACTATGCCCATTCCTATGATTACTACTAACATTTGTTCTTGTTCTTATTCTTTCTATGATTATTGACTATTGCTAGTATTCCTATTTTTATTAGTATTAATACTACTACTATTTTTACTGCTCTTGTTATCATTATGACGATCACTATGGTTATTAGAATTCCTATTGCTACTAATATGGTGTGGGCCCGGGGCCTGTTTTGAACATCTGTAGTGCTTGTAGGGCTGTGGTCGTCTCAGTAAGTATTAGAACTTAAAACCTCACGGGCCAAATCATGACTCCAGTATCCCCTGCTAACCCTACTTACTAAGTCCCCTTGAGCTTCCACGTGCTAGAGTCAGAGAAAGACTTGCGATGACAAGACTCCTGGCATGACAGCATCAAAAACGAGATGCTCATCATGCATTGGATGCTACATACTTAGCCTGATGATTTTCATGTTTGTAGTGTTGAGAGTGCCAACAGGGGAAGTCTACGAGTTCGTGCTTCACTACGATCCGAACGAACAAGCAACCAGTAACTCTCCACTGAAATCAGAGCCTAAATCTTCAGCATTCACCACATGATTGCCAATGTACCGCTTTTCTGCCAAGTAGTGGGAGGCCGAGGAACCATTTGAGTAGGATTTTGAATGAGCCCTCTACAATAACCAGAACAAGGCAAAAAATGATGTTTGCCTTGTGGTTCTAACCTATCAAATGAGAATAAAGTCCGAACCATGACTCAAACACTTGACGTTGCTGAGGTTTCGAGCAGGATGGTGCGAGCGCGAGAAGCAAAATTTTACGTAGCACTGGAGAGCAGCTTGAGAGACTCAGACAGCTGGCCTGCTTTGCAACTTTCCTTCTCTTGAGTAGAGTGTGTATGACCTTGTTTTCGTGGAGTGGGGGTTCATGCCCATGTTGTGGAGCATGTTACTTGTCTGTTTAAGTACAGACCTTCTTCTTGGCACATTCGACTCCTGATATTGGACCGTTTTCTCTGATAGATAGTTATCTTAGTGTTTGTGGCTTCAAAGAATCGGAATGTGCAACTCCAGGGCCTAAATTGTTCTTTAATCTTTTTTTGGTGCCTGGCAAATCTTGTAACAGGGCCTGAAAGGCAATGTCTTAACCACTTTTGAGTGGAGTCTAGGCACGCTCATGCCCCTACCCACGAAAAACGTCCTCAATGGATGATGGCACTGGCTCTACGTATTTCTATCATACTACTATGCGTGAGTATGCTAAACTGAAGCCCAGGTAAATTACCAGCGATGCTGGTGGAAGGCCGGCAACGGCAAATTCGTTGACTCACCACGGTTGTCGTCACCATTCGTTTAGATCGTAAGTATCTGTTGGCTGTCATTCCACGCATCATCGCTTGGGGTGCGCCCTCTCATTTTTGTAGCCAGTACCGAGGCCAGCACAAAAAAAGTATGGACTTAAGGCGACATCCACAGCAGCAGCGACCATGCAGGCTGTTGCTAGTGATTACAAGGCGCCCCCCAACAACTCTACCCATAATAGGAGGCGCATAGGGGTAGGGCGTATTCATCACGCAATACGCGCAACTGCAGTGAGGGGCTGATGTGCTGTGGATTGTGGTTTGAGGTGTTGGGCTGTGCTTGAGCTGAAGCCAAGACAGTTCAGTCAAAGATCGCGTTTGGGTGTGCCAACTTATTTGATGCAGGCCTCAGGCTTCATTTTCTAGAGTATTTTATCCGCGAGAAAATTGAGAGCAGTTGCTTTGATTGCCCTGGAGGGCGAGTCGCAATCTTGGAGACGTGGGGTGCGCAGCTTGTGCCACGCACTGCTGAGAAACCGTCTCCCCTCCGCGACATATCTGCCTGGATTTTGCACCCAGCTTGTGCAAAAGGCTGGCGCGCAGAAAGTGACAGTGGACTCCTTTGCTAAGCTCCCCCAAATTCACTGCAAAACTGACATAGGCCGCTTCCAACACGACAGTAGGCTTCATACAGCCCCTTCTGGGCTTTCATGTTAGTTTGGGGGAGGGAGCTTTCCACAGACAGTCCTTCCTCATGAGCCCTTGCCTGCAAAGGGCCCGTCGCGTCACGAGCACGACCCGTTGGCAACTGCTATGGCCTTGCAAGCCCCTCAGGTGTCCACTTGGCAACCTTTTTTCTTGTCTTTATAGGTACGGAAAACTCAAGTCATAACCATGTGACATCCTAGAGCCTCTTATCCTTATCATTTGAAATCATATTGCCACACTAAGTTTTTTGGGTAGTATACCTACCTGGCCCTTTGTAGTTCAGATGAAAACATGTGGGAGTTGCTCAAACTCACCCATTCGCAGTCCCTGTGGGATCTCGTGCAATCCTTCCATATCGCCAAAGTCCCCCAAGGCTCCCTCTTTGGAGGAGACTTGCCTCCCAAAATTTGACACTGCATGCCTATAGTCCTCCTTAAGTAGATAGAAAATGGCTTTGGGCATTTTTTAATAAGACGCCCATATATCCCATATTCTATCTAATTAAGCGGACTATAACCCTAAACATTGAAACCTGAACCACCCATATAATCCTCATGTGATATAGTGCTTTCCATTTTCTTTTCCATAATCCCCATAGAAACCCTATAGAACACCAAATATTATAGTAGTTTCCATGTTCTTTTTCATTATCCCTATATAAACCTTATATAAAACCACCACAGGATGGGTTGAGACTTCTGGCGGAGGCGGCGCTGCCAGCCTCGCTCAGCGAGTCTTTGAGCCTCAGGCGGCAAGAAGCCAAAGAAACCATCAAGGGTTTAGGGTTTAGAGTTTAGGGGGGTTTAGGATTTAGGGTTTAGGGTTTAGGGTAGTTTCCCTCATTTGTGTAAGGTTTAGGCTTTAGGGTCAATAGGGGGACCCCCTTTTCACCCCAAATGTTACAATCTTCATTTTGGCACCCCCCAAAGCGTACCCTAATTTTTGGAAATTCTCTTGTGTATTCGCGAGTGTATAATGCAAAGGGGGCCTAGGTTTGTAAATGCGCATGCTTTTGCCATCTGGGAGCGTCTTTGATTTGGAGTGCCCTTGCAAGAGTACTGCCCAGTTGTACCCTAAACCCTAATCTCTAAACCCTAATCCCTAAACCCTAACCCAACAGTCTCTAGGGCAAAGGGAGGGTCTTTGTTCAGTGATTGCCCGTTCCATTCTACGACATTTTTAACGAAACCTCCTTCTGGCTTCATCCCTGACCATCAAGGCATGGTGAGAGAAAGGCGCGTTTAGACGAAGCCAACGTCATCAAGGAGTTTCTCCTCTTCCTAGACCAAGAAAGGCAGAATCTTGGAGCAACCTCTATGGGCTAGATGGGTCACATGAACACAACACAGAGCTGGAGGTGCAAAACGGCTTTGCAAAGTTGATGAGTGTAGAAATGCAGTGCCCGCGGTGCTGTGGCCAGCCTGTGTCATGTTGCAACCTTGCTTAGACTTGTTGAGGACGGCGCGCGTTCTCAAAGCCAGGGTAGACTTGGTCGAGAGC